CGCACAGATATCGTTGCGAGAAAAGTTGAACGCGTCAAAGTGCTACAGTTAAATTTCGTTTAATTATTCGAACGAGTTTCACTGATACCGCTTACGTGGGTATGTATGTACCGAAAATTTCGGTGAGGCCGCGATAAATCGTCGTTCCGCATTCCGATGTGAAATTCATTCACTGGTCGTAACGAAGTCGTCTAGACTGTGTGTCGGAGAAAGGTGACCATTCACCGACCGCCGTGACTCGTGAGGTGGCCTCCGCTTCAACGCTGGTTTGGCTTAGCTTGATGACTGAATTTTATTCATACCACACTTGCCTCGAATTCCTAGGTAAATACGGTATCTTTTAAGTTTGCGGTAGTAAGTATTAATTATATAACGATAAAAGATTGTTATATTCATTTAAAATCCGAAGTATATGTCCCTTCAAGACAGACAAAAATCACTAATAAAGGGCTAAAAGCATAATTTATATCGAATATTATCATTGGAAATTCAAAGGAAAACAATAAACGGCACTGACTCCAAAGTAAACTAACTTTCCAAAGCGCACGATATCATCTACATGACGAGCGTGCACGAGCGCTTGGCTTTAATGAAGGCGCACCGTGTGGCCAGCATCCGCGTAGCAACAACTTTCAGACACTCAACGAAAGTTGATCGCGCCGGAAAAATGCAAGTTCCGTATCGGTTCCGGCAAAAACGATCTCCGTAAATATTCGGTACTCAATTCTTGCGGTCCATAAACCGTAGCATCACAAAGGGGAATGCCCACTCTCCATAGTGTGCTGGGCCCAAGATGGACATCAAATATTACTATAAAAATGGACTGTTTTAAATTCTTAACTGAATTGGATATCTAAAAAATATATTGAAATTGACGCCACTATTATAAAAATTAAATAAAAATAAAAAATAGTTTTGAGGTTAATTTTCTTCTTTTTTTTCTCTAATCTATTGTCCGCTTTGGGCCTGAAATGGGCATTTCCCTTTTACAAACATTTCGGAGCCCCCAAATTTTTTAAGTAGCTTCACTTATTACATTTTTGTCCGTGCCGTCGCCTGACACCTAATTTATTCAACAAAATTTTTGTTTCCCCTAACCATTTCAACGGAAATTAGCATATTTTATTTCGTCTTCATGAATTTCAAACAGGTTGTTAAAAATTTGTCAGTGGTCTTCATTGCTATATTGGTGACAAGAACGGCTTGTGCAGAAGAGTCCCGGAATTTATTTTATAACAATTTAGTCTTGTCAAATAGGATATATAATTTTTTCACGCCATTTATAGACAAAATGTTTTTAACCGTTTCGTTTTCTACAAAATAGTCAATTGATCAAGAGCGAAGTCTAGATCTAGAAGTCTAGAAAAAATACAATATATTTTTTTAAATTCCATTCGTTTATTATTGACAAATGTAAACTACGTGAATATTAATCATCTTTATTTACTCGATACAGTTGTTTTTATTTTATCTTTACTGCTGATTTTTATTGAATCAAATCTTTAAATGGCTTTTGTCTACACAATATAATGATCAATTGCAGTAATTAAAATATAATTATCATTGTATTTTTTATATAGAGGTACCTTAAAATTCACAGAAACTGGGTATCAAGAGCGTTACCTTAGTGTTATTTAGGTCCATCGAATGCAACTGCCAAAAGCGTGGGAGTAAAGTAGTCGGCGGAGCTTTGTTGAATAGTGAATAAAATAAAGCTTAACAGATCATTGCACGAGTGAATAAAATATTGTAAGTATAATATTATTTAGAAACTCGTGGATTGCGTTAAAAAAAATGGTACTTTGGCAGAACAAAGTTCCGTCAGTGTTTTCTATGATGGTGGAAGTGTGTAAAGCAATTTTGAGATTTTGATTGTGAGCTCATTTTGTTTTCTATTTTGTCGCGATTAACCTCAAAGGCTATTCCATCTTTGCCAAACAAATAGGCGAGAGTTTACGGGGCTAAGCTTGAGAGAGAGCAGCGCTTCGCTGAATCTACCACCGGATTAGAATGGCGACCCGCCGAGAAACTCAGTGGTTTCAGGGTCTTTTCTGTGGGATGAACTCGTAATTCGCAACTATATTGAAAATATTACCGAGTTAAGAATTTTTTTGGACTTAAGAGGATTGTTATGCAATAAAACGTCAATATGAGCAATCAGCGAGGGCAGATAACAGAATTATGTTGGAGGTTGGGGAGGGCGGTCGCGCGCATTTAAAATTGTTGATATTGCAATTTGTGGGGGATGTCGATTTGTCACAAGCTCAATAAAAACTGTACGGATATGCGCGGTGTGAATTTTTATTCACGAAATTGGCCTGCTAGGTTACAGCGGTATCACTGCAAAAGCAATTGAGATCTGACCAAGTGTGTAAAACACAAAGTATACTTTGAGTTACTTAAAGGAGCATTTTATCTTTGGTGTTTGCCAAACTAGGCAAATTGAAGAATAAAACCAACCAGTGCTAGCGAAAAAAAAAACACTAAACAAATAAAGTGTTGAATTAAAAAAAAAAACAAAAAACTATGACCTATACTGTGCCAATAAAGTCTAATACAAACAAACTGAAACTGTAAATGTCAGAATTAACTGGGTCAAAGGGATGTGGGGCAGTATGTTTAACCCACAGGTGAGTTGTGAGATACAGAGGGCTGTGTGCATTCAACAATGTACCCCCATAGGGCTGTATCAAGCTGCAATTGTGTAGTGTACCGGCAAAGGAGGTGATAGATTGGAAAATTGTATTGTGCCCAATGAAACAACTTCAAATAGGTTAATGCTAGCTTTATGTTGGTGCTACAGGAATAGCAGGGGGTAAATTTTATATCTGCTCCAAATACAGTTTATAACAAATTAAAGATTGAATTAATTAAATGATTGTTTATTTGTTTCAAAGCTACAGAACAGAATTTAAATTCCAATGTGTATTCCAATTATTTTGTGGTAGGTTTTAGTTTATAAGACATTTTTGGGCTGATGCATATGTATGTCCCAGCATCAGTGGGTAGTCGTTTTGTATTATTAATTAATTAAGTGTAAATGCTGTGTAAATGTTGTATGCTCATTTATTGGCACTTAAATTAATATCAGTGGGCTCAGTGGTGGAATGGGAGAGGCCTATGTCCAGCAGTGGACGACTGTGGGCTATTGAGGATGATGATGATGAAATTAATTTCTGGTTATCTTACTTTCAATTACCTCTATGCTCTAACCCAAATTCATGCACCAATTGTTGAACAATTTATTTTATTATGATATTTTTGATTTCTATTATTAACATATCTTGCTTATATACTACAGTGTTTTTCTTATAATGTATGCGAATATTTACAGACTAATAGTAATTAATGGAATGTTGAATTTTGCCAAAATGGAAAATTCATCTTTATTTTTAAGATGTTATCAGATACTTTTGTTTTTCTGACTTTAACTAGCAATTGGTAAGTTCCACACTACACATGACTTAAAGATTGTAGATGAACATAATTCATCATTATCATTATCCTGCCCTTCTCCCAGTCACCTGGGGTCGGTGCAACATGTTTTCTCCTTCTATCATATACCATTTCTTCGCTCACTCCCCTCTTGCCCATATCGTCTTTCACACAATCCATCCATTTCTTCTTAGGTCTACCTTTTCCTCTATATCCTTCCGCATTCATAGTTAACACTCTCTTAACAACCTCATTTTCATTTCGTCTCATCACATGTCCATACCATCCCAAACGCGCACTCCTCAGCTTCTCTGTCACAGGTGCCACTTTCAGACTTCCTCTAACATATTCATTCCGTAGATGTAGATGAATGTTCAAGTAGATGAACATAATTATGAAGTTAAATTTAAATGGGGCATGTCAAGTTTCCTATGAGGGTTGATATAGCATTATAAGTTATCTGAATTATCAGCAAAACATTTAAATCACTGATACTGTAGACATTTACCATTTCTAAGTATTGAGAAAAACATTGATGGGTAAAATTTACAATGTACAATACAATAAACAGGCAATTCTCTGCAAATCAAAGTTCCTGATTTGTGACTATTTTGCATGAGTTGTACATCCACAATCCATTGTACAAAATGACTGAACTGACTGAAATATAAATAAAATGTGCAAGGCTATTGAAGTGATTAAATGAATTACTTTTCCTCAAATTAAATTATTATCATCAGTAGATACAGTGTTCATTTTTGTATTTGTATAAAAGCTTCCTTGATATTGAATTTGTTTTTCATATAGAAAACGTAATATTTGGTTAATATTAACTGAAAAGTTAATTGTTTAAGGCTTGTCATATTTTTATGTTTTATTGTTTTTTAGTTTAAAAAGTGAACTATGAACAGACTGGCAAAAATAACAAAATACGGCAATATAATTCCGGAATTCTGGATTACTCTAAACCACAATAAATTCTGGAAAAAATGTGCAGCTGTAAATAAATGGGAAAAATGCTTTATGAGAAATTTTACCATAAAGTTAATTTGCGTGGCTAATGTAAAACAGCCTATTATTAGGCAATCTCTGTTAATCTCATTTTGACAAAAATATATCATTTTTATATGAATCGAAATATTTCATTTAAATAGGTTTTTTTTTTTCTGTTATGACAATTCAGTGTGATATATTATTCTTATGAAATTTATAGGATATCACATTCCATGAGATGATTTTTTCTATACAGATTCAAAATTGAAACTTTTATTTTCTACTTTATTTTCAATATGGACTTTTGTAGCATATTTATTTTTTTCATAAGATTTAATACTAAATGCTTACTTTTAAAACGCAACAAGACATGTCACATCAAAGCAACCATGTGGTAATGTTTACATGTATCAAACAAATATCTGATGCTTGTCCAAAGGTTATTGAACTACATGCCACTATGTTCAAGCTTTGTGCATAATAGTTCCTGGTACATTTAGTTACTAAGGGTCAAAGATTCCATCAATTTGTATTGTAGGCCGCACATTTAGTGTAGTAAGATTGTTACTTACATTTGTTTTTGGCATTTTCATCCATGAGCATGTTGAAGTGGTGATGGCGGTTCCACGCTGCCATTTTGCCTTCGTGAGGAGCCCCGAGAAGCACCAGGGCCGCCCCGGCGGGCCCAACTCCGTCTAGGGGCTCCAGTGTCCTCAGCACACTATAACTTTGTCACACACTCATAACCTAAGGAACATATCTAACACACACTCGCGTTTAGAACGCCGTCGCCCTGGACGGCGATGTCATCGGCGCCGTCGCGCGGCGCACATGCCTTGCACTTCCGCTCTACGCACTTATGCACACGCGGGTAAACAAGCGCGATGAAAACGGCGCCCGTCGGTGATTCACCTCTGACGGCCGTCGCGTGCTCTGCACTGCAGGCGAACTGTGCCGGCGCCCGCGAGTCGCAGCCGACTGACACCCAAACACTCGTCCCTTGTCACGTGTGCGCCGTGTGCGCTGCACCGACAAAACACTCACTACCACAAATTATACTCACAATATGATTAGAAACCGCTGTCAACTATTCCGAAACAATTAATTACTGAAGAGCGAAACGCACGGGAAACGACATAACGCGCGACGCGGTTCCCCACTCCTCGACTCGAACGAGACTGGTACAATACGAGCCACGAATTACGAATTGAAATAGGGAACAAAATAATAACAAATATGCATGGGCTGTTCGATATAATAGGTGCACGTGGGTTGTGTCATTCCCAAAAAATCAGCAACATTTGGAAAAATACAATATAAGCTTAAACGTTTCAGACACTGCGACGAAATTTCTCAGAATAAAGTCAGTTGCGAGGCATCAAGCAAATACAAAATTTAATGTAATACGAACTACACAGTTGCACACTCCCGTAACGATATGGATTCATTAAATAGTTTCATTTTATAAGTATTAGCACTATCAACCAAACTATATTTGTAAACAAAACATATCCCGTAATACATACAGAAAACAATTTTTAAACAGTGAACGCGATCGCGTTGATCAAGCGCGACAAATAGGACAAAACATGGCAGACTTGAAAAGCACTTCTGTTGTCTGTGGTCAATTTCTTTTTAAAAGCGACTTTATACGTTTCGTTTCTTTTATCGAATAGACTTAAAACCATTATTTGCGGTATTTAGGTTTTTAGTAAAATGTTTCATTTTCTTTTCTAAGATTATGATTTTTTAAGCATGTTCAATAAAATAAACACAAAAAGATTTAATCATTAAACATTATAATTTTTTCCAAAAAAAATGCCATAGACAAAATAATGCTACCAATTAATAAATATTGCCGAGATCCTCCCAATTTTTTTGTAATGGAAATATGTTTTTAATCTTTAACCAAATAATCCTCCCTCCTCCTCCCTTTTTTTTATTGCCCTTGTAGGCAGACGAGCATACGGCCCACCTGATGGTGAGTGGTTACCGTCGCCCATGGATTTTACCAATGCCAGGAGCAGAGCCAAGCCGCTGCCTACTGCTTAATACTCTCCACAACTTCTGAGTGAACTGAAAAATTCACTAGTCTTCTAATCTTGCAATGTGATAGCACTCTTGCAATAAATTTAAATAATAATTTTTATTATAATTCATGTTTGGTATAGGTCTACCAGGATCTGATGGCAAAAAGGGAACAAATCAATGATCAAGGATAATTTTTGAAGATCTTACTGTGGCGAATGTGGGGTTCGAAATTTAGATGAAAACTCCAATTACTCTTCATGAATTTATAAATTAATTATAGGCTATCAGAACTTAAAAATGGTTCCAAATACTGCACATCCATAAAAAAGTCTTCATCAGAAGAGGAAGACAAGGAAGACGCAGTATTTTTGCCACCTTTCCTCTTTTTGCCCTGCGTACTAAATACATCTCTGTTAGATCTGCCTTCAGCAACAATTCGTCTTATGGTAGTATTTATTTATTTATTTATGTGCGTTCCCCTGACGAGTCATTGTCAGGGACATTTTTCATGCTTATTTGCTTTTTTGACAAATTTTATTTTTCACAATTTGTAATGTTAGGTTCGTATTTCGTTCTTTTATAATTTTCGTTTCTCTGCTTATTACTATAACCTGGAAAAACCAAAATCCGGTCGTCCAAGATTTTCGAGAACACTCGAAAACGTAGACAGTGTTGCCCAGTCTATTCGGGACGATCTGAACCTTTCAATTAAGAAGCGTGCGGTGGCCTTAAACGTGCACAGATCGTCGTGATGCCCTATTTTGCATAAAGATTTAAAACTGCACCCGTACAAATTCAGTTGGTGCAAGAATTAAAGCTTCAGGATACTGGTCAGAGGTCAATTTTTTCCTGGCAAATTGATCTCCAGGAGAGGTGACATAAGTTGGCCTCCACGCAGTCCCGATTTGACATCTATGGACTTTTTCCTGTGGGGTTATATCAAATCCAAAGTTTACACCAACAAACAGACTTCCACACACAATTAAAAGAAAATATCCATCACGAAAGCCATCACGGAGAACACCTGCCGAGCCGTCATAGGCAATTTTAGTGCTCGATTAAACGAATGCCCTGAACGCAACGGTTTACATTTCGACGATGTCATTTTTAAAAAATAAATTCCAAAACAGTGTATTTTAATATGTAATAAACATTTTTTCAATAAACTCCTTACTTTTTTTAAAATTATATTTTTAAATATGACATTTCTTTTGAGACCCTTCCTTCGTTTTTTTTATTATTCATAAACTATTTTCAATAATTAAAACAGCGAAACATAAAAATCTTTTACTTGACGCTGGCTAATGCACAAACCGTACGGAGTCAAAAATAAAGACGAAGTGTAATCCATAGGATATACAGGTGTATAATCTACAAATGTCGCCATCCATTTTGTTTCACATTGAAAAAGAACAGGTTTAAGATTCACAAGAGAGACGCTATTTAGTTTTTGGTGATTAAATTTGGAAATATTTGGCTTGCTAATAACGTCCAAATATATAATTTAACTAACCATACTTAAAATTTATGGAGTGTAGGGTAATTTTACACCATCAAAGTTGTTTAACTCTTTTGTAATTTGCGTTGTTAATTAAAAAAGCTATTATTCAATTATCATTGGCTTTATCTCAGTTAACTATTCTACACGCATGTGAGAAAATAAGGAAACCTTAAAGAACTACTTTCACGGTATTTGTATACTGGTGATTAAAGCTTCTTCGACACGATGCCAAAACGTGGCGGTGGAAGGAATAGAAATTGGAAGGCTGATACTGACCATTTTGGTAAGTGGAACACTTTTATTTATATTCTGTTGTGATTTTGTAGTTCCTACAGTGAATTATCAAAAAATAATGTATTCCATTGTTGTTAGCACTACTTATGTTTAATACATAAAGGCAAAATCATGCATCATAAAGTTCATGATACCAATGAATAATATATGAGTTTTTAAAGTTATTGACTATTAATACTTGATTTACAAATGATATACTTTCAGAACACGATGACCGTGTCAATAGTGTGCCGAGACATGTCAGTTTTAAACCTGGAGCTAAAGGAAAAAATAAATTTCGAACTTGGAAAAATCCTTTAGCCCTCCTTGATGATGATATTGACATGGGTAGTTCTGCTCTTCAAGGACCGGTCCGGAAAAGTTCTTTCAGGGGACGTGGGAGAATGTACTCTCCAGCTCCGCAAGGAAGCCACGGACACACTAAAAAGNTCAATAGTGTGCCGAGACATGTCAGTTTTAAACCTGGAGCTAAAGGAAAAAATAAATTTCGAACTTGGAAAAATCCTTTAGCCCTCCTTGATGATGATATTGACATGGGTAGTTCTGCTCTTCAAGGACCGGTCCGGAAAAGTTCTTTCAGGGGACGTGGGAGAATGTACTCTCCAGCTCCGCAAGGAAGCCACGGACATACTAAAAAGAAATTTATTCCTGGTGTTCTGCCTTGGTACCAAATAATCATTCCATATGGAGCAAAACATGAAAAAGATGTTATCCTCCGAGCCTTGTTGGGTTTTCTTTCACCCGACATATTCATTCCACATTACTATAAAGTCAATGGTAATGCTGCGGTATTCTATGTTGATGATGTTAAAACAGCTGAAAAACTTTATAATGCTGATAGAAAGATCACTATGTCAGATGGTTTTAAGTTAATTGTTATTGTGAGGAATGCTGTTCCAAACATGGCCATTGACGCTGCCATGAAAGAGAAGATGAAATTGACAATGGCGAAGAGGTATAATGCTACAACTAAGGCATTAGATTTAACAAAATTCCATGCTGATCCAGGTGATTGTCCAATTATATTGTTATTGCTTTACATATTCATAATTTACAATACATTCATTGCAATGTCTAAAATTCAACTATAGCTTAGTAATACATATTATAATTTCTTTTTCATTCAATTAGAGATATAATAAGCTAGACTTTTGGGAATAATTTCTTATGGGCCCACATAAGCTATAATTTATTAAAGAGTGCATACTGGTTTGCCCTTTTATAATGCAGCAATGTAACAACAATATTTATAACCAGTTATTTTATAGAATGTAAAGACAATAGTTTTACTGGGTGAATATTGAAATAATACTATTTTTCAGATCTAGAAGATATATTTTGTGCACTGTTCCGTCCAATGATAATGTTGGCTGCTATAGATATAATAGCAGAGAATATTCCAGACATAGAAGCTTTGAACCTAAATGATAATAAGCTTCATGGTTTGCAGCATCTCAAGGTTTTGTCTTCAAAGCTGAAGAATTTGAAAATATTGTATATGGGCGATAATAGGGTAAGACAAATACATTTAAGACAAATTAGACCAGTGTAAAATTTCAAATGACTGATTCATATTCATATCATCATCTTCAGTGCACATTCCTATCTAGGCATAGTTTGAATAGTCCCACAAGCTAACAGCAATTACGTAGGATATAAAATCCCTATCTACATTTGACAATTAAATTTGTGTTTTTTTTTTTCTTTATTATATACCCCAACTAACAATCTTTGCAATTAATTTGTTTTCACATGCACTATCTCTGATTGTTAAGGTAGACATTTTTCTCAATTTTGTGTAGTGTAAGTATTTTTCTATTAACTCATCATTTGCATTACATTAGTAAAATATAAAATAAATGTAGTAAACGAAAGACATCTTTAAAAATATATTAATGCTATTAAAAAACCAATAATGTACATTAATTATCATTTTAACCTTTTTCAGATTCCATTCCTTGGATCACTGGACCCAATCAGATCATTACCGCTAGTTGAGCTATACCTCAAAGGAAACCCACTGGTGAACAGGTTTCATGATCACGAAATCTACATAAGGTAACGCTAATGTTGTGGACAGTATCTTTGGGGTCACACCCCAAGATATTTTGAATATCCTATAACACCGTTTACCATTAGCGTTAAGCCATGGAAACTTGACAGCTATATAAAATCAAACTGTGGCAGTACTGTTGCTGAATTTTGCATGTTTAAGTAGATGAAATAAGTAAAGATGTTTTTTATCATAAGTTAAATTTGTGATAACATATTTTATATTTTTATATTCGTATACTGTTTATAACAAAATCAGTAAAATATCCCTTAATAAAATATAGTTGACAAATCTTTTTAAAAGACATAATTTTACATAGCAAAAAATTGGCAGGAAATGTCCCACAGACAATGAGCCTTCTTATTTCCATATTCCTCTCACATATTTATCAGAGTATTAAAATAATTGATACAAAATAGTAACATTTGAAAATATTTACCTAAGAATAGGTCACTCACAGCATTATATGTAAAAATGGCCCAACTGTTTAGTAATCTTGGAAGAGTTTTAATGCAGTATGAGACATAATATCAAATATGTGGAATAATTTAAAATCAGAGTGTCATCCCTATTGTACATTGCTGTTTTGAAATTATACTAAAATTATTAGTACTTGGGCTTCTCTAAGGAAATTGGGTATTCTATTGCTCATTATTGTTACTTTACTATTTTGATTTTATTTGAGGTTACCCTGCATCCTGTGTACTATGACTCCGTATAACCATTTTGTCAAAATAATTCTCAATATTAGAGGCATAAATAACATCTGATATCCATCATTACTACCTTGAGCATCGCAAATGGATGGAAAGGTCTTTTTAAATAATTAATCTAAAAATGGTTGCAAAGAATCATTTTTGACAAAAACTGTATATTATTATATTTATATGTATATTTTTTTAAATAGTATATATTACCTCTTTACCTCCAATATTGAGGTTTAAATTTGAATTATATAATTTTAAGCAATAATTCAAATAAAAATAATTATCTATTTAGTTTTTATTAAATAATGCACACAAACACAACATTGAAGCACATTTGTTTACAATACTTTATAAAAGTAAAAGTATGTTTCTTTTTTCTGGTCGTTCCCTCAATGCTGAGGATCGTGACTGTATGTCAATCTTCTCCACTCGGTCCGGTTCTGCACCATATGTACCGCTCCCCATATCTGGCCTCCAGTCACCTCCTTGAGTTGGTCAAGTAATCAAAGTATGTAAACAGTGTTTAAATAATACTTGCTACAAAAACTGTTTACTACTATTTAGAGTTTATCTGTGTGACATCACAACCTTTTGTGAAATAGAAATATGCTTCAATATTTTTATTAAATAAAAATCAAAGAGTAAAAAAAACTAAGCAATTATTTTTCCCTAATTATACATTTGATTGAATTGAACAATGTTTTTCACTTAATGTTATGATGTCTCACAATAGAAATTTAAATCTCTAAATAATTATTGTTAACAAATCTGCTTTTCATGTAATCTCAATAAATGAAAAACATTTTGTGTGTTTCTTAACGATTATGAGTTTCAGAGTTCAAATTTGAAACATGTTTCCATAATTTTTGTTCTCTCCAGTGATGTCCGGAAGAAGTTTCCCAAGCTGACAAGATTGGTAAGTGTTATTTTTTATTTTCAGACTTGTGTTTATGCCTTACTATTTGTTGCAGTTTATATAATCTCATCACGCCTATTTATTCAACATTGTAAATAAATATAAAATAAATAAATAAATTAGGATGGTGCGGATCTTCCACCGGCTATTGGATTCGACGTGGCTGAAGATATGGGGCTTCCCCCTCGACAACAATCGTTCCTGGTAGACCCGGCGGGTCAGGATCTTGTCAGGGAATTTCTCACTCAATACTATGCGATATACGACTCGGAATCTCGGCAACCACTTTTAGAGGCGTACCATGAAACTGCTACAATGTCGATGGCTGCAAATTATTTAACGAATGATAGCAGGAATTCTACTACAACTAGGTGTGTAATTTTTATTTAGATTTGATAGATTTTAATTCTGTTTGGAATTTACAATGTTATGTATATGGGTTTTAGTAACCGTCTACCATTTGGGTCGTGAACTTGATGCTACGCATCTAAATTTATATTTTAATACGTGCATCAAAAACTTTTACGAAAATTGTGCGGACGGAGGAGTATGAAATTTCCCACACTTTTCCAAAACATTGCACATACTACTATGTATTTGACACACACACACACACATACAATAATATTCTTTGTTTAAGATCAAACTTTTGTAATTGCTTAAAGTCTGTAGTCACATTGAGAATATATAGGTTATTATTGTCAATCTTTAATATTATTTGTGTATAATGTATTCTTAGCGAAATCTGTGATTAAAGAAGTCTTTGACAATAGAACCATAATAATGTTCAAACATATAATTTCAATTAATTAAAGTGGAATTTGGACCACTGCGGGACCACTGGTATATATAAAAACACCCAAGACTTAAATCGGCAATTAGTGAGTCAATAAATAATATCTAAATAAATGTCTGAAGTTTTGGGAACTTTTTGGGGACGATTGTCGAAGTCAAACTTGACATCCCCTGCTAACTCAATCAGAGGATGTCTTTAGACTGTATTAGTTACGATATTTGTCACGATTTCACAGGCACATCTCGTAACTACATTAAAACGGAGTCGAGCGCGATTATCCATCAACAAACCAATATACACTGCTAATGCCTTAACTGCTTTATGTATATGAGAAAAATATTTTTTAATTACAGGTTAAACTCTTACATATCGAACAGCCGTAATTTAACCCGAATAACAGAAAGGGAGTCGAGAAGGCGTTATCTACGTACCGGAAAGCTGCAAGTAGTCTCCTTCCTATCAGATCTGCCAAAAACAACACACGATTTAATGGGTTTTGCTGTCGACTTACTAGTCTTTACTGTAAGTTTTGACTGTTTTATTTATACATATTTATCTACATTTAGTCTGAGAGGCAGACGTGTGAATGACCTGTCTAGTGTCAGTAACTGTCCGCTACTGTACTGCTTTGAAGTGATACCCAATCTTTTGAAATGTACCATTATTCTATATTCTATATTCTTATTTCTAACTCTCCGAAGAATTCGTTTTTGAGTTCCTTATATTATGTTGAATAAATTTTGTAAGGTAGTTTTATTGAAATACTGCCTAATTTCAATATATCATGTATTGTAACTTTAAATTCCATTACTTTAAATAAAAACAATGTATTATAGATGTTAGATAAGGATATTTATAAATTGAAAAAAAAGTGTTAAGAAAAACAAACATTAAACACATATAATATGCACAAAAAAATGGTGTATGAAACACAGAAAATGACCTAATACTCCAGAAATTAATATTTACAGGATAGTAACGTAAAGTATATAAAATTTTTAGTGTCCTAGAATACCAACTAATAAAAAAAAAATATAGCTCAGTCTCAACCTTAAGCTAGCTAAGACTAGGTAAATTGTTTTTTTTTTGTCTACAGCCGGCCATGATCGTCCTTACAATGAACGGTGTGTTCAAAGAAACGAACACTCCCAATAACCCGATGCGTTCGTTTCATCGGACGTTCGTGATAGTTCCGAACGCGAACGGCGGCTTCTCAATCATCAACGATATGTTATATATCACGAATACTACTAAAGAACAGGTTAGTGACCATTGACGAATGAATTATATGAAAATTAAGTTTCATATACATAAACACCTGTGCCTAATTAAATTCTGATTGATCCAATTCTAATATAATTATTGCTTTAATGAATGTTGCGAGCATGCATGCAATAAAAAAATACATTACGCACACTACCATGTGTTTGACAAACACACATATATACTCTTTGGTTTATTGTTAAAGCTTGTGGTCAAATTGGAAAGAGATTAATATTGTTTGTCTTTAATATTATTTTTCTATAGTGTAGTCTTGGCGCAATCTGTGATTATAGAAGTAGTATGTAGTAGAAGTCTGACAATAGAACCATAATAATGTTCAAACTTATAATTTCAATTAAATATAGTCGAATTTCGACTACCTACTTTGGGTATATGTAGGTAGGTAGGTAGGTAGTATACTATAATATGTATGGATGATGATGAAACATAATTTTCATTAATAAATATTAGAGGCTAGTTACCACAACTGTACGACGGAGCTCCATCTTTGCTTTAGACTCTTATGATTAGCTAGATAGCCCATTATCTAATATTAATTAAACATTGCCCATACAGGAGGATAAGGCCTTTTCAACGGGTACTGTAGAACCGATTCCACCTACTCCAGCGCCCACGCCTACTCCTACTCCCACGCTCGCAGCTGGGACGCCAGATGATTCTCAGAAGATGCAGCTACTCAACATGCTTGGTCAACAGACGGGAATGAATGAGCATTGGAGTATCAAGTATGTAGAAAAAGTCTATTTCATGGTACAAAGTTGTAACTTTTTAATTTCAATAAGTCTTTATTCTTTAATTATTTTCACTAGTGCAAATTACTTGTTCACATTAGTTTTTTTTTGGTATTTTAGTTGTCTTCAGGAAACTGGCTGGGATTTGCAAAGGGCTATGTTCATCTTTAATCAACTACACTCAGAAGGCAAGATACCGCCTGAAGCCTTTGTAAAGTGAATGAATGTGAAAAACATTTGGAGCTTAAATTATAACTTTGTAAATAGTGAAAAGAGTGAAATAGTGAGATATTTTATAGAATTATCAGAAGATTATATGGAATTGAAAATGTTTTTGTTGGTGTTGGAATAAAAAATCTACACAACAAAGTGAATGGTCATAAAATGAGGAATGTTTGTCCGAGTCGGCAATGGATATGCAGTTTATGTGAAGAGAATTACTTTAAGGAAGTACATGTTTGTGTACAAACTTTTTAGAAGAATAAGAAAATAATGGTTTACAGAAGAAAGTCAAGAATGCTTTTGAAAGACGGAAACAATACAAAAGCGAAGAGTTATCTATTACCAAAATAAGCTTTAAATAAGTTTTTTCTGTAATAGTTGAAATTTATGCTGAAACAAATTACTGTAGAAATTATAGTACTAAATTATTTATCATCTGCAAAATGTTTGCCCCTCCATGGCATCCAATCTAAAATTTATGTTTTATGGTGGTTTGGATTAGACAAGAATTACAATTTCTGAGCAGATATTGGTGTCTACGATTCATTAATTAGGTTTTTTTATTTTTTATTTATCACAAAAGTATATACATATCATAGAAGTATATATACTTCTGTCAAATACAAAAATTAAAAACGAATGAACATGATCTCGATATTAGAACCATAAAATCGAAAATATCGCTTCACAAATAGTCTTACGCGAAGCAGGGTTGAAAGAGAACTGTTGTTTTATTTACAATCGAATTCGATTTTATGGATCCGATTTCGTGATTACATTTTTATATTGTAAAGAGAATTTACGCGATCTTACTTTTTTGAATACACCATTGAAATATTTTTACATACATTGCTCCTATTGTCCACTAAAATGCATTATATGTAAAATCGTGTTAATTCTCATCGGTTACTTTATCTTTCATCTACATTGAGACAACTGTGTTTTCTTAATTGCTGTAATTAAATACTGCGCATTTTCCGCCTTAATTTATGCAGAATTGTATTCAAGCAAACCCTGCTAAGTGGCGTGTGCAATAGTTGACTTGTTAAATCTGAAAGCATAGTCCTCCATTGCACAGTTTTCTTTTTAGCGCATACGTTATTGTTATTACCGTGCCTTGTTCTCTCTTGCCAAGTATAACTGCCCAAGTAATACGAGATCAGTGAGTTTGTATGATGCTTTCACGAATCGTAGCCATGAAAACACTCTTAAGGTTCATTAACGTCACGCTCGTAAACACAAACTGTATTTGAATAAAATGAAATTGTGAAATGAACCCTAAGTGTTTAGTAAAGAAATTAAATTTGCTCTCTTCGTATATGGGCTTAAATAAAAGAGGCAATGTAATGCAATTGTATGTTATAATACTCTCATAAAGTGCAAAAATAATATACTAATCAAATTGGAGTTTTAACAAAATAGGACTTGTCTAAACATGTGTAAGTTTAAAACACTAAACATTTTTTAGTATCCATCCTGTATATATATATTAATGTTATTCTAAAATACATTTGTATTCACTGAATATTAAAATAATATTAAAAGAATATGTTGTTCTAAGACTGTAATTAAAGAGAAATTTGTAAAAGTTCTCAATTAAAATGCTTAAGTTTGGATGCTTGGTCAATTGCAAAAGAACATAGCGTGCCACCGATTGGCTGTTTGTTAGTTAAGTCTGATATTTTTGATAGCACAAGATGATGTATCATTTTTACCAGCTCTTAACTCGAGCTAAAAAACATCTAATATTATGGCCTTGACTTCATAATTTGTAATAAATATGTTTAATATCACCATGATACTTGTTGCTTATACTAATTAGATATTTTTAAGTTTGTTAGTGTTAGCTTTGGTTCCGATGTACATATTACGTAAATAGTTGTTCATCAGTGTATAAATTGTTGTGAATTTTAAATTTAATTCATTAAAAATAATGTGAAAAAAAGAAAAGAAAAAAGAACAGATATTCGAAACTCGAATCTTGTATATACATTTAAATTTAGATTTGGGGGGCTACAAATTATAATGGCGCTTCGTGGCGGTTAGCGACTTTTTTTGCACAAACCGGCAGGCTGTCGCGTCGATTACATTGCTTGTTTTTCTTGCAAAGCCAGCAAATTGTCCAGAGTGCGTGAAGCAATGGACACGGTTCAGTGCGATTACGACGGAACCCCTTAATAAATTATTTTGTGGGCTAGTCGTGTGGTCGAATGAATGTTATGTTTAGATCGAAGACGTTTGACGCTTGGTCGTGTTTTGTTTGCGAACGCGCTGCCTTCTCGTGCGCTGTGGGGGGAAAGCATAGGGCTACGATATAAGAATACGTTAAGAAATGCAGGGATTTATACGAATAAATCTATTAAAATTACCTGTTGTTTTATTTTAGCATTCGTTGTCCTCTTTTTCTCCTTGCTCCAGACATTAGTAGCCTTCGCAACTTGTCGCTTTGAATAGCGAGATTATTACAAATTAGTTAGATATAATTTTTCTAGTATAATTATTATTTTCTTTTATAATTTTTTACAGGTGGTAGGACCTCTTGTGAGTCCGTGCGGGTAGGTACCATCACCCTGCCTATTTCTGCCATGAAGCAGTAATGCGTTTCGGTTTGAAGGGTGTTGAAGGGTGGGGCAGCCGTTGTAACTACTTGAGACCTTAGAACTTATATCTCAAGGTGGGTGGCGCATTTACTATTTATGGCCTATGGCGCATCTATGGGCTCTAGTAACCACTTAACACTAGGTGGGCTGTGAGATCCTCCACCCACCTAAGCAATAAAAAAGAAAAAAAGTAAATAGTATATTTCGAGGATTTTTTAATTTTTTTTTTATTGCTAGAGTGAAGGAGCTCGCAGCTCAGGCGGCCTTAAGTGGTTATCGATATATCGGTATAACGTAAACAAGTAAAGCACTGCTCTTGCTAGTGCAGGTGTTAACAGTCTCACAGGTGTTCTCTTAGGTAGCTCTCTTAGGCTACGATTAGGTAGGGGAAAAAATCATAAGGAAAATTGTAGCTGTGGCATTTGAACACCGGTATTACGGGGCTTCTTATGCTTTAAGCCATGACGACTTCAACGTTGGACTTTTTGTGTAGTTTTTTCTTACTTATTATACGGTCCTCGACTTAAATAGTTATTTTTAATGTTACCTATATCATAGAATGGTAGGTAGCTGAAAAGAAATTTTCTTCACTTTTCGCGAGTGTTAGACATCATTAAAATTACTTTTACGGTTTAAATTCGCGTTTCTTATTGCCTTTCGGATACTTCACAGTTTCACGGTCGACTGGCGTAAATTCCAAAGAAAGTACTAATTTGAAAACTTATATTCCTGGAAAGCGCAACTTATGTTTGTCGAGATTGTTGCTCGGTTTCGCAAATTTTAATAACATAGAAATATCCTATGTCAGCGTTTATTTTCATTAGAACGGCTTTAACAGAGCATACCTAACATTTTTAAATTTATAGGAAAATTTAACGACCATTTTTCTAACGTTCCGTCTTCATTTTCATGATTACAAACAATTTTCAAAACATATCGCTTTATCAACGTTGAGAAATACATAACAAACATTGATAACTGCTATCTTGTCGGTTGTCAGATTATATCAATTTAAACGGTATTTAAATTTAATTTAAATAAGAGAGATTGACAAAAGCTTATCATTTTGTTTATTTTGATAAACGATACTCTCAAACGAGTCTTGTGTGTTTATATCATGCAATAGCTTTGTAATCAGAGTAATTGCGATATGAAAAACCATTTGTAAGCAAGGGTTTTCATTTAATTCACTTAGAATACGTCCTTCGGCTCCGGAGAGAACGAGAAGCACTGCATTTAGAGTTCTAGACGAATTGAATCTAGACGAATATTTTGAAAAGAGCAAATCCTGATTTGCCGATTTTTCTCAACAGCGAAACTGCATTCCAAATCAAAATGCCTACTAGAACACAACACTTGATCTCTTGATCCAAGACAAACAGAATTGTACTACATATTGTCGAAATTAATGTATTTAATTTATTGGCATATTAACCAAATTAATTTGACAGCTTTGTTTAATTAAGTTTTATAAAAATCACTATATAAACGTTAAAAAAGTTAAATTTAACAGAAGTAAGTGAAACGTTTAAGAAGTCGCTAGTCTCGCATCCATCAATTATAACAACTAACAAGGCTTTTGTAGTCACAAGATAAAGAAGTTAAAAATAACGTGACCCACTTTTTTGATACTAATATCCACAAATTCATAAACCACGCTGACGTCTACCTAGCAATAACTTTTTAGCAAAAAGGTAATATTCGGAGCGATACGACTTAAAATCTTTCGTTTTTCGGATTCCGTGGCCATTGTAATTCTGTCGTGTTTTTTTTATCATTTTGTTTGTCTTACCATTATTTACAGGTACTTCAGCATATTATCCTGACAGTGATTGTGTCATACCAAGGTCAATGATTTCATTACACGGCACTGATAGCATTGATGAAAGAAACAGCAAATTCCTATTTATTAAAACGACATAAAAATAACAAAAATGGCCTTTGTACTTGGTTTAAAAGAGAAGAGTACTTTTTCCGCCTATAAAAAGTAATCTTCTGTTTTTGAGTCCTAAAGCATTTGAATTCAACAAGTCCAAAAATTCCCCCAATAATAGACAGGTAGGATAGTTTAAGTAAACAATTAAATAAGAGGTTGAGCTGTGACATGCCACTTTATGCTTTATGAAAGCAAGATCATTCATCCATTGTCCCCCAATGAAAACCACAGATTTGAAATTGTACCATTTGTTAAGATTTGAATAGTTATTGTAAAAATGTTATCTTTACAGAAGAGGCACTACGGATACTACCAAGACAAGGAAAATTTGTAAGGACAGAATTGGGCGAAAAAAAATGCTCCGCCCGTTTACTCTATTTCTTTATTTAGAATTATAGGTGATGGCATTTTTGGCGGTAGGACCAATACCTTATTGAAAACGACCGTAAAACTATTTACTTTTAGTAAGTACTTTTTAATAATGAATTGAAAAACCCTTCACAAAATCGAAACTATTGTTGTAGCCGCATAAGTATAAAAAGTCTAAACGAAATGTCGTGAACGATTTGGCTGAATCTATCATACGACAAGTTTTTCTTACGTTGCCAGACGCATAAGCGGTTACGCCCTGCTGCTTATAAGGAAGCACTTGCTTGCGTGCTTGCACGAGAGCCCTAACTTTAGACCGTCATTAAATTTAGCGATCCATCCAAATATGCAATGATTTTTCTTGATTGTTTCGAAACGCTTGAAGTTTGATTTTGTTTATTAATGTATACCTGAGTTTTAATGACAGAAATATCTTATTCCAAACCTTCAGAAGAAGGAAGGTAGTGATTAGTCCCTTAGTTGATAATGTAACTCAATTATTGTACTCAATCATAGACTTGCTCAGATTTTTTATCAGTTATGTGTGAAATGTAGCGGAAATCTTCCGCGGCGCGTAACAACGCAGTCTTTGCGCGTCACTGAATACTCTTAGCTATAAAATAACATTTGCTTATGAAGATAAAGTGATGTATTCACGTTAACTGTTTAAATAATTAAAGGTTTCTGCTGATACTTGAGAATGGAAATTAATTTTATTTCTTATTTACACGCACGATACCGTTCAGCTGTTTGTAGCTTTTGATGTTTTTCACGAAGATCGTGGAGAATACTCTGAATGATAATACCCTATTGAAACAAACAGCCGATATACTATTATTTGTCGAAGATATCTACATACCTACCTATCTACATATCTACATATGTTTTATATAAATAATAAAAAATGATTAAGGAATAACCTCTATAAAAATCAATCGTACACTACGCTGTAAGGTTTCTCAAAATTTTATTGCACACTTGGACGAGCATGCCTCCGGTCCACCGCGTGTTGAGAAGTTTCTGGAGTTTCTAGACATCACAACCTGGATGCTGCCTTGAATCTTGAGGTCTACGTGTCTATTGTTTACTAATTACCCATATCATTCTTGCGGGTATGATTTTTAAGACACGACATTATTCCTTTATCGTGGAATTAATTCGTAAAGCAGATCTTTAAGAGCTATTTCATTAGAATTGAATACTGGTTTAGTTGTAACGCTCGATAAGGGCACACTGGGAGTCTAATCCTTCAGGCCACAACGGCTAATTGTATTGTAATACGACTGCTTCACCATCAAAACTGAAAGTAAGACATATGTATGTAGGTATGTATGCTTATCGCGAAGGTAACGAATATTCTATTGCTCATTTCATCATTATCATGCTCATCATTACATCAACTGATGGTTAATAAACTTTATTGAGTAACGAATGCTAGTTAAAATACATCGGTGAGTCTGTCAAAATAAATTATATGAATTCGAGGTAATCCTCGGACTTAGTAAAATAATTACCAAGATATATTTTGTTTATAACTTACTAATATCTTGTAAAGCACGTTCAATTAAAAGTGATTTCAGAATGGTACTTACTTATTAATGATACTGGAAAGCCGAAAACCGGGCTGAGAGGCATAACTTTTTACTGGAGGTAGGACGTCTTGCGATTTCGCACAGGTAGGTATCACCACCCTGCCAATTTCTGCCGTGAAGCAGTAATGCGTTTCGGTTTGAAGGGCGGGACAGCCGTAGTTAAAAGTGAGACCTAAGAACTCATATCTCGAAGTGGGTGACGGCATTTACGTTGTAGGTGCCTATGGGCTATGGTAACCAATTAACATCAGGTGGGTCGTGAGCTTGTCCACCCATCTCAGCAATAAAAAAGAGTAAGGCTTACGTCCAATAGTGTACAACTGTGGTGGGGCAAAGCAACCATTTCATGAGCCTTTTGAGTTTCCCGCTGGATATTTTAAGCTTCTGACGAAGCTCGAAAGGCGTTTGGGCCGTAAGGAATCCCAAAAAATATCCGTACGATCAATATTACAAATTATTACAAATTGAAAAATAAAATGACTTAAAAACTTTAGGAGTCACTTGATTTAATTACATAATAATACTACACACATCTGCCTCTTTCATTGAAATGTTTGCTTACTGTTTAAGGTTTTAACAATTTGTTGTTTAAAGATAGCGAGCTGTCAACGTGAATACCTACAATACAACGAGGTTTTTTGTTTAACTTATTATTAAAAAAAAGTTTCACAAACAATATCTCGATATTATATTAAAGGAAAAAATATTACAACAGTAGTATTGTAACACAAGTAACGTGATCCTTTTTAATTTTACTTGAATTGCATTCGATTGGACTGTGTGGTGTCGATGTAAAAAAGCATCATCTCTTCCCGTGTCGTAAAAGGCGACTAAAATTCATGGGAAAATGCGCAAAAA